CTTTCACTATCCTTATCTGCCAATAATTTGGAGAGTTCACTTTCATTCAGCAAAGCAAATCTGCTGTAGGCCATTGTTTGTTTGTTTTTTTCGCGCGCTTATACGTTCAAGCTTTTGGCCGCGCAAGGGTTTGGGCACGAGAGAGTCCAATAATTGTTTTTTTGGATGCAAGTTCGATCCAAAAAAACAATTATTGGACGCTGATGACGTCATAGGCGGAAAATACGTAATAAATGCCGAATACTGAAAATTAGCTGGTGCTTTCTGACCAATTAGCAACGAGAATACATATTAAATGTATAATAATTGGTATTAATACCCAAATTATCACATTCCAATTCATCATCACTATCAGAATCTGAGTCTGATGTTTGCACATCAACACCTAGGTCATCTTGATTTCCTCCATTTACAAAAGAGGAGTTAGCTGCTATAGACAATGATAAAATAACATTATTTAGATGATTAGAACAGATGGGGCAATAGGTTAAATCTTTCAAACATTCTTTGTGAAAGGAATGCCAGCACCCTTCAAAAATCTGCCAGTCGGCATCTTCCGGTGCCACACAGATGTAGTCACATCGACTGTTTACGTCTGGCTTCTTCTCACACTGAAAACCCAGCGGCAACATGTAACTTTTCACTGGTTCTCACCAAATAAAGTTGGAAGGATGAACATTGTGCAGTCCCGTGGTTGTCCTTTGGATCTTGGAAGTAAATATGATTCACCTGGACTGGAACAAATTTTTGAAAAAATAGAAACTAAAATTTTAGCCACTCTAGTATGTAAGTGCTTCAGTTGAACACAACTAAATACCTAATTTCGTGCTGGAGTGAAAGTTGAACGGAAATTCTCCTGGCGTAGACCACAACCAAAGATCGCTTTCATAGTATCAGCCAAAGTTTTCTCACTTGCACCATCTTTTGTATGTCTTCGAATAGCAGAGTGAACATATTCTACGACTGACTCATCAATAATATTTAAATGATTAAATATATCTTTACAAAATTCATTACCTTCCCAGTATTTCACCAGAAACAACCAAATAGAGATTTATTATAATGATGTCGTCTAAAACAGTACATCATGACCCACATTCTTATAATTGAATCATAATAATTGGAAAAATCATTAGTTTTACTATATGAACATAACACTGTGGGGCAATAATTATCTAAGAAATTTAATAGAGTACCATACTGTAGATCTTTGCAATTACTGAAAACAGCTTTAACAGTTCTTCTAATTAGAGTCCATCCACCATATATTATTTCTAGGATGAATTGTATCCTCCAAGGCTTTGGCTTCTCTGCCGGAATTCTGCTTGGAAATAAGGACTCATACAAAGATTTAACAAAAGGATGGTAATTCAACACTAAGTCTTCATCTGCATTCAAGTCAATGTGCAATGGTCCAATTAAAGGAACAAGAGAAAGGAGCATGTGGTACTGATGTCTTAGATGTAATGTTAGCTATATATTTACACAGTGTTTCATATATTATTTGTCTGGGGTAGAACTGGCTAGGGTGGTCACCAGGAAAAAGTACGAATTTTGATAAATATTCCTTCAACTTGTCTAGGTTCAACACTCTATTTAGAGCTTCCATGTAATCATTCTTCGATTTCAAGGCTTGCATAAAAAAGTCAACTAAATATACATTTTTAAACTTCCGCATACTACTTACATCAGTAGATGCACCATAATCATGACTTTCCAGACGTTTTCGCTCCAACAGCGGGTCAAAAAAAGAAGTTGTCAGTTCTGGCAAACAAGTGGCGAAGGTGCAGCTCAGCTTGGTCATTTGCTTCTCTGAACATACTTCATTGGCAAGGTCATGAGGTTTTATTCCATCCTTGTTGTGTATAAATTGAGGTGGTGGACGAGTAATGGCTCTAATATCTGGAAATACTTTAAAAAATATAGTACACATATTATTAGCTTGGGAGGTCTCAAGATCTTTAGGCCTTCTTGTAGAATGTATAGTTGTATAATCATCAATCATTAATACTAATTTTTTATTTTTAATAGCATCATCCAAAGCACTAATGACATTGGTTCTATTAGAAGATGAAAATTTCTGAAGAGCTCTATCAACAGTCATGCTACAAGTACTGGTACCAATTACACGCTGGGTGTTCAAACGTTGATTAGTACAATGGGAAAATCTTAACAGAATACCATTGTCAACCTGAAAAAATGAACACTTTTGTGATAAGCCAAAACAAAGTTGAAGAATAAGAGCGACTGTTCGCTTCTCATTTAATTGTTTTCTCACTCTTGTATGTCGGGAACTGGTCATACAAGCAGAAATAAAATCAAATAAATGGGGGGCACCATGGCTATGACAAAATAATTTAAACTTTTCTGTGTCATAAACAGGAAGTGCATCTTTCTGAGTAGCATACTCTGATAAGTATGCCTGTTGAAGGTTTTCAACCTCTTGAACTATTTCTGCACCTAAAAGAAATTAATTTACATTAATATTTTACCCAAATTGGTTATTATAATGATGCTATGTTTGTCAAGAAGACCTTATTAATAATTGTACTTTCAGAGCATAGTTAAAACTAACCGAGGTCAAAGCTGCAGGGTTTAGACTTCATAAAACTTGGATGTACTAAAATACTATGTTTATTCGGTATTAACTATGTTTTTTTAGATTTTAAAACTGAATTAATAAACCACTAACCAGAAACAGTGAGGTAGGAATTTGAACTTTGACTACTTGTAGTAGTTTCTGTCAAAAAATAGAGGTTTTTATACTTAATGTTTTATATATGGTATTTGTACTTCAATACATGGAGAAACGATTGCAAATAAATAAAAATTGCATATCTACATACCTCCTCCAGCCACTGCTGTAAATTCAGTTTGTGTTTCTACATGAACACCGATAGTTTGTAAACACGCATGTATTTGTCGCGCATAATAGGGCCTACAAAGGCACTTTTCATGTGAACCAGGATTTACAAAACCCGAATTCGCCAACTTCGTTCCACAAACACTACATGGAAATTTAGACCTCATGCTGCTGCAATAATAGTCTTTAAAAAGACTGTTAAAAACTTAAGTTTAAAACACTGAGTAACAGAAGTCCGAAGTAAACCTTGTAAAAGATGAACGAAATTTCCCGCCTTGAGTCTTCAAGCAAGTTAGCCACTTTACAAATATGGTATATAACGTTAAGTAAAAATTTTTTTGCCATTGGCTGCATTTTTAAAGCACAGAAGCTCAATGTAACCATTAGTCCATAACTGATACAACATGACCCAGGGCGAAGAAAAATACAATTACGTGTGATCGCCACAATTCTTAACATAATGGAGTAAAATCAACGCAAAATAATCCCACTATTGGTAGATTTTCTTATTCCTTCTCCTGGACATCTCTAAAATAGTATTTCCATAAATATATGCAGTAAATTCGAAAGCTCACACACAATTCATTCTCCTTCGACCGCGGCCATCTTGCCATTTCCATAGCAACCGGTAAATTACGTAATCTTAAAAACTGACCAATCAGAGAAAAGTTACCTTTGTTATTAATTCTATTTACAACCAGACATTTATTATGGGGATTGTACCTGACCAAATGAAAATAGCTTTAGTATCCCCTATTTTCAAAGCTAATGAAAATAACAAATTTGAAAATTACAGACCAATATCTGTTCTCACATGTTTTTCTAAGGTATTAATAGAGAAATTAATGTACAAAAGACTGATTGATTTTGTTGAAGAAACTGATATTTTATCCAAGCATCAATATGGATTCAGAAAAAATAGGTCAACAGAACATGCTATCATTGAACTTATAGATAAAGTAACAAGGGCTATTGATGAAGGAAAATACACAGCTAGTGTTTTTCTTGATTTGTCAAAAGCTTTTGACACTATCGATCACAGGATTCTGATTGGGAAACTCGAATCTCGAATATTATGGGATCAGAGGCATTGCAAAATGTTGGTTTGAAAGTTATTTAAGAAATAGGAAACAAATAGTTAAATATAACACAGTGCAATCTACAGAAAACTCGATACTCACAGGTGTGCCACAGGGTTGGATACTTGGACCACTACTCTTTATTTTATACATAAATGATATCCAAAACTGTACTAAAACTGTTTCAATTCTTCTATTTGCCGATGATACAAGTGTACTTTATAGTCATTCCAACATTAAAATACTTCAAGAAACACTTCAAATAGAAATGAATAAAATTGCTGAATGGCTAAATTTAAACAAATTGTCTATCAATACAACAAAAACAAAATTAATTGTGTTTAAATCTCCAAATAAAAAGAAACAGGAATTGCACCTCTCTGTAAATAATCAATCGGTTTCACAAGTTAGAAGCACTACATTCTTAGGTGTCGTTATTGATGAATATTTAACCTGGAACGATCACATAGAAGCGGTAACGAAAAAAGTTATGAAATCATCTGGAATAATAGCAAAACTGCGCCACTATACAAACCTAAATACATTAAAACTAATCTACTATGCTTTGGTCTATCCATATCTTATTTATGGCAACTTACTCTGGGGAAATACATATAAAAAACGAATTCAAAAACTTATAAATGTTCAAAAGAAGATTGTATGTTTAATGAATTTTAGCTCTCACTTAGATCATACTGAAAACATATTTCAGCACCTAAATATATTGGACTTAAGCAAACTAAACGATTATCTTACCAGTTTGTTCATGTTCAGATATCATCACTTAAAAAACTTACCTGAATTTTTTGCGAACTACTATATTTCAAATAGTGAAGTTCATATAGACATAATACAAGAAATTCTATGAAACTTCATAAGCCTTATCAAAGAATTAACAAATATAAAACATTTTCCGTGTTGATATACAGTTATATCACACAATTTTGAGTTTTCCCAACTTCCACGAGTGTTGATATAACTATATATCAATACGGAAAATATGTTTTATATTTGTTTTATAATATAGCAATGTCAAAAGCCCGAAGAGTAAGAACAATTTCCGTGTTACAAGCGGCGGAAAATTTCCCGTGTTGACATGGAGTTATATCAACACGGCTCTTAGCCAATCAGCGTTCAGAATTTACAAATGCTATATTATAACAAACTATGTCAAACATTCACTCTCTAACAAGGGAGTTGATATCTGGAATAATCTTGACCCAAACTTTAAAAATATAGCATCTTACTATATATTCAAGAAAAAATCGAAAAAATACTACATACTGAATAACTGAAAAACTACTACCAAAACAACATCTGCAATATCAAATTTTATATGAATTAATAATAATACACTTTTGTGATCATAACATTTTATTTACTGTAGCACTATATGTAAATACTTTATCATATTGCACCTCACTTGAAGCACTGTCACCTAGTTTTGTTTGTAAATAGGATCCTTATTTTGTAATTTAAAATGTAACTAGGGGTCTTAATAAAAAGCCTTTTGATGGTTTCTAGTAGGCCCCTAGCCCTAGATAATAAACATGTAAATATAATAATTGGTTTCCAGGTCCTTTATCTCAATTTTTCATACCAAATTTCGGTACTTAGCCCAAAAAAAATAACATTAACAGCTATTAGTTCTGCAAAACGTAAGGGCATAATTTCAGCTACGGGCTTGAGTAGGCTCCTAGCCCATTTCTTGTAAATAGTTTATTTCTTTTATGTGTAATATCAATATCTTGGGCAAATCAGCAAAATAAATAAATAAAAAAATCCATGGAACATGACAAACTTGAAGTTGAAGGACACTTGTTTGGCCATTGACTGTCTTGATTGTAATATGGTCCTTTATCTCTCTCAGCCAAAGAAATTTTTGCTTCGTTTATTATTTGTTTTGTTTTTTTATTAATTTCTTTCTTTTTCTCGAGCAAAAAGGATTGGAATTACGTTTTTGCCGTTTTGACTTTAGCATGAGTATATTAAAAGCATATATGTAAATATGAGAAACAAACAAAATCAAAAATTTATCGATGGCCCCCATTCGCAGGTTTGAGGAAACAATATTAGTGTTGATGGAAAATGTTGAGCAGTCTGCTTAGCTGTATCTAAATGAATACTATATAATGGTAATTATCACAAAATGGTAGACACCAAGATGGTAGCCACCATTATATTATTACATCTAATCAATACTCAAGTGGGCTTCCTTCGAAAAAGAACTCTAGATATGGTTTATACAATATACACTGTACACATGGGCATAAATCATAGTCACCACACATGTACTTGTAAAAATTAGGACTTCCTATCATACATGTACGCTTATATGCCATCCTTCCAATCATGCACACACATGGTTTTGAGCAATCTTTGGCAGGCCCATCCATCATAGTCGTTTTAACGCTTTAAGTGCAATGCGCCCTACTTTATTATTTTACTCTGTCCAATGCAAGAAAATTTTACTCGTAAGGGGGAGAGTGCTGCCACTCAATGGGTTAAAGGGCCTGCCAAAGATTGCTCAAAACCATGTGTGGGCATGATTGCAAAAATGGCCCATTGTTAGTTAATCTTTTTTGTTTCGTGGACAGTTAGATACATTCTTATAGCCTTTCATTGGCTGCTTGCACATTCTGCACTTTGGCACATTTCTTGGCTTTGAAGGTACACTGTTGCTAGTTGTAATGGTAGGAACTAAAATGATAATAAAAAATATTTAGATTTGTCAAAATTAACCCATCATTGTATTACTGGTTTCAAGTATAAATGTTTCACAAGCATATTACTTTATATGAACTGTTTCACACACCTGGGTTTGTTGGAGGAATGTCCACAAGTTGCATGGTATCTCTTCCTCTTTTCAATTGCTTCTTCCTGTGACTGTTTGGTAAGCATTGTATTCATGGGAGCTGGTGTTTTTTCAATCAATTCATCCTCAAGCTTTTTTATTCCAATTGCCTCTACCATGGTCTGATATATATAATCTACATAATCTATTATCAATTCAAAAAATAGAAATTAGTCGCCATGCTCGATTATTGTAGTTGGATTCAGACTGTGTAAGGGGGTGGGGAAGGCACATTGGCACTAAATTGTAATATATAACTTACCAAAGTTTTGCTTCACTGAAACCTTTTCGGACCACTGCTTCTCCATTCATGAACTTTGGATAAATGACATTATACTGCTCAATACCATCCTTTGTTCTTTTTTCCCGGGAAAGATTTTTGTTAAAATGGATAATGGCAATCACATGTCTGTAAAAAATAACACCACATTCTGTCAACAGTTCCAAAAGCATATTAGTGAATTGGAGATTTGTACCCATATATGACATGTAGCAATGATATGCCAAATTGGAAGCAATAAGAATAAGATACGAAATCTACATACCGTAAGCTCCATTAATCCGCCTCTCAAAAATAAGCTCCCCCCCCTCATGTTCACCCAACAATGCACATCTTTTGATTAGATTTGTTTATTTTCTTTACACCAATTAGTTTTTAAACAAAATTATTTATTTACAGATAAATAAATAAACTCTCCCTCTCTCTTTTAAGCCACCTCCCTCTCCAATAAGCCCCCCTCAAAAGTGCCTGTGGGGGGGGGGGGGCTTAAAGAGTTTACGGTATGTGTATATCTGTACAAGACATACCTGCAAAACATTCCTCTGTAAGAGTAACCAATCATCTTGGGGGAGAATTGATTCAGCACAAAATAGAATCCTTCTAGGCAACTAGTTTGTTCAACAGGGGAAGCTTTCATGATTCCTTTCTTCAACCTTTTATTTGTGAGGGTTGAGCATGTTTTCTCACATGCAATGGAATCTGTAAAAAAATTGAAAACTATTATTATCCCAAATAGTATATTGTATTGATTGTCACAAATTGTACCAGGACAATTTCACTGATATTAATTCTCATACTACATCTGTTACATTCTTGTTTCTCTATTGGAGAAGTTTGCATAGTCTGTTGAAAGCAATATACTTTAGTACCAGCCCTAACTGATGTGTACAGTACCTTTGTCTAACCAATTGCGTGGCTGAATTATATCTTTATGCCCACATTTGTTGAACACTGGATTGTCCAAATTTTCATGTTTGTCAACCACATGACTTAAAAAAAGATGAGAATTTTGCCCAAAATAACTTCGCCATTTCCATCATGTGTTGTTTTCGCACTCCAGTATAAGTGGTTTGTACACAGCTTTATCCATTCACTTATTGCTTCGCATCCACTCACTTTCGCAATTTTTGTTAACACCTTTGTAACTTCTACATTAAAAATGAATAAACAAAAAAACTTTAGGTTTTTTTCTAACCATGGGTTTAATTATACAAGATTCTACAAACATCACCTAGAATCCTGATTAGGATTTTACTCTGGGAAGTTATTCTCGACATACTATAACTTATAAAGACAGAGTTTATGACCAAGTGAACATACTTTTCTTGAGATGCCAAATATCAAAGTAATGAATGATGTTTTGACAACTTTTCCCTCATATGTTTTGCTATTGCTGAATGCCTGTCAGAAACAAATGTCTTTACCACCAAACCCAAACCAAGCAGATACTCCATACTTTTGCAAAAACCAGCATATTCCATACTGCTGCCAACTTCATTTTTCTAGTGGAGTAAATATACATATATGCCATTAGCATGGCATGGTTAGTATTTCAAAATACTTATAGCAGGTTTACACCAAAACCTAAACTCTTAAAATGAAATAGTATTACTTCTTGTAGATGTAAAGGACGTTGTTGACGAAATACCTGTACTAAGACAAAATGAATTATGAATGGTACAGTGCAACAAAATACAGTATAAGCACAGTACTTGGCACTGTGACCCATACTGTCATGTCGTCCATCCCCAGCAATCACCAATTCCCCATGTCAATTCCCCATGTCTTTTCAATTCCTCCACTAATCCACCCTGGTACTTTTTCCAGTGAAGATAAATTGATGGGAACAATTTTTCCTATAAACATTTAATGGAATAACATTCATATTTATAACTAACTTGTAACATGCTACAAGTTACCCCTTTGCACCTAATACACCCTTCCGGAAAGTACTTAGTTATGGCTATATACAACCTTGTTTCCATGACTGAGACATGGGTTTTACAGCCTTTAAATAATTCCTGTTACTGATGACATCATCATAAACATATCTTTGATATAACTGCATTGTTTCATAAGGGCTCTAAACAATATCTCAATCACAGACATGAGACTCCATAGCCAAGAACTTTTTGGGCTAGAGAGAACAAATTTGGCAACCATAACCAAGAACAAATTTGGCAACCATAACCAATATAACATTCATCCCATAGGCACACTTACTCGTTGATATTTGAAGAAAGTTGTTAGTGAGACACATGTCATTCCCATGTGCCGAGGCACTCTGAAAACCTTGGTTGCTGAGGTACCTGCCACAAGGATTCCAAAACTGAGCAACAAGTTACCGGCTGCAATTTTTGTCCCAGCAAATTAGGTTGACTAAACCATGTTGTTCGTTTCCCACATCCAGGGTTGACACATATTGTAATAACCTGAGCCATTGTACCATGTGCATTTACTTCAACCAGTGTGTTTGCACATTTGCATTCACAGCAGATTTGAACAAGACGCCGACTCGGCGTTAACCTCGGGTCGGTGGATAGGGGATCGTCTGGTAAATATCCAAAAATTGTGTAAATCACGATAGTTTAATAGTTCACTAGTATAAATGGTGAATCAGTTAATCAAAGCTCCGTTTTAATATTTTATTGATAATAATTACTGGCCCTCATCAAACCTATTGTTTTCTCTCTGCATTATATCAGTGAATGTCGAGAAGTTTTCATTTAACGTTCTACTGAAAAACGGGAGCGGCCTTTTTGGTTGTATAGGGAAATTCCGGCTCAGGGGTAAATGTTTATACGCATCATATTCTATGTACGTGTTAAAATAGCACACAACATTATTAAAAATAATGCAGCGTGCATCAGTGCACACAGACATTATTAGCAATAATGCATCTTCGTCACCCTGACATGTACACACGATAACGTGAACATCCCAAGATGAGAAGGTGACAGTACTAAAGCCCCCCATACGGTGTCGTCGGGTGCCTGAAGCACTGTTGGAAACAGTCGCTGTGAGCCTTTTCAGTTCAATTTTATAGAGAAATAGTTTCGTTTGCGCTTGTGGGATTTTATCCTAGATATACGCATGTGCAGAATACACCATAAGTTCTATTCCCGTGTTTATCCAATATGCTATTTGAGTAAACCTTATCATTAATGATAATATGTAAACTAGAACACTATAATTGACCTCCGCTTGTGGAGATTTTAATTTAGGGCAATTAATTAAACTGAAATCTGTTCTATCAGAATGCACTACAGTGCCTATGGTTATGTCTATATGCATGTCCTCACAAATGTCTAGTGTAACGTTGGATAGGTTCATTGTCATACGGTCCCGACAAGCAGCAACGTACAGTAGTCTTCCAGCCGAAAATAATTACTTTTGATTCGGGTCAGTAATTATAAGTGAAAGTTGGCCGCGGTATTCCCATGCTATGCATACAAAGTATTGTGCATTATATCAACATATACTCGAGAATAGTTATCCAGCTAAACATGTATGTCAAAATTATCACATCTTCTGGTTTATCAAATTATCACATCGGATTTTGGCAAGGATAGCTTCGGGTTGCGTTTCACCTTGGCCGATGCTTGAAATTTTCCAGAAGAACACTTATTTACCGGAAGTTGTCGTCTCCTCCGCAGGCTCTTCGACTATGCGCGCAGCTCGACACAAATGAGAAAAAAAAAGGAGCCGAATTTATGACCTCGGTGTCGTACCGACCCGAGGTAAAAAGAGTCCACAGCTGTGTGAAAAATACAATGAACTTTGGTTCTGTTCTGAGATTGTACTCCTTCATGGGAACCCTGAAATATTAAGTAAACAATTGTTTGGCATGCTACAAGTACCTGGGCATGGCTACGTTCACCTGTTGTAAATTTATTTAAATACTTCATTCAAATCAAACACTCTAGACTTTCTGTAGTAGCATTAAAATGTTTTAAGACCCATTTACACAATATGACTGGTCCATATACAATTGTCATTATGGTGTATGCAAACGACTACTGACACAACTATTCCTATTCATCAGCTTACAGCGAAATTTGAAATGTGACATTTTACATGCATTTTATTCAAATACATATGCCAGGATAAGAATCCCATACAGCCAGCTAGTCGTATCATGTAGATGGGCCTTTATAGAATCTTTCAATTACCACGAAAAAGGGAATATATTGCACACAGCAGTGATTAGTCTGCTTACCTGTTACACCTCCAAGTGCGCTTAATTTTTGTTTTCCTTCTTCAGGAGTTCACAGTTGTCACATTTCTTGTTATGCTCCAATTCATAAGCTGGCTGAAAAATCTATTAAAATGATAAACTGTAGCTTAACAACAATTCATACAAACTCATACAGTAAGTCTAATAGGGCCTTTATTTATTTTATACGCTTCTGTAATTAATTTCCTGTCACAGTGCTAGGGTTACTGAAATCTGATATAAATGCCAGCCTTACCATTGTTTCTTGTTCCATGGGCAGCATGGATATGGCAGGACTTCCTGCAGTTGTAATGTCTGGTTCATCAGTATTTACATCTAAAATATCTGATGAAGTTGTGGCTGCTTCTTCGTTGTCTATCATCAATGGTTCACTGATAGCCTATGAATGTTAAGAGGGCGTCTCTGTAAGAGCGGACCACTCGATCTGGGCTTCAAAAATAGATTTCTCTTATATTTCTACCGTCGATACTCTCATCTATCCTAACTACGAAACTGGAGTTAAGATCGTTCAAACGTGGTTTTTACAACCGCTATGCGAGTTTTTGTCCCAGGACCCAAGTTAATTAAAATATGCCGGTTTCTGAAATCGCCAAAACCTGCAATCACAGTCAGCTTTTTCTATTTTCTCTGCTAATCAGAGCTTCGTTTTCGGGTCTGAACTGCACTCTTGTGCTCAAAAAAGTGCTCTTTCTACTAAGAAACAGTAATATATAGCTGTTTAGTTGCACCTGACAAATAAAAAAATTTTAGTGATCGAGACACTTCAACGCATGTGATATCAAATTCGAGAATTATAGGTCCTAAGCATTGCAGAATTTTCATTTGTGGCACCTGCCCAGGTTCTAAATCGCTTTTAAACTTTGAAATAGGATGCTATTCCACACATCCACACAATAAAATTTGCGGCACATGGTATTTCTAAGAAATCAGGAAGTTGACAATTTTTGCATTTTTTAGCTATTTCTCCGCGTGACACAAGAACCTGAATACGTCCCTGTGCTGTTATTAGCCGCACTGTTACTGTCCAGAAATCAAGAATACATTAAAAACTTGTTCCTAAATGGCCTTTTCCTGATCCTTAAAGATTTATTTAAGTAATTTCAACCCTCTTTTAATTTAAGCGATTTTGGAATTTGCTAACACAACATGGACATAACATTTAATATAGCTCGCTTAATTAATAATATGCATTCGTCCCAAATTTTGTATGAAATTATATTCAAAAATCATTTTATAATATAAAAGCAATTGCAATGAATCAGAATAGGCACAAATACCAGCTCAGAATATCAGAAATAAAATGACTCGTATGATTTTAGAAATTAATTAATAACAAGATGCTCGAAAGAGCATTAACTCACTGGGGCTAGGGTGTATAAAAAAACTGAGCAGATTTGAAATTGCTCACAATTTCGAAAAACAGCTATTAGTATCCCAGTTTTTGATGTATATAGCTTCCTTGGGTACTTATAATGTAGAATAATGAAAAAAATTTCTGGAACTCAAATTATGTGAACCAGGGGGGGGGGGTTCTTTTCCAACAAAATAAAAATGGCTTGCACACAAAATTTAAAAGCTTTCATCATATTTTGAGTTGATAGATGGAAAATGTGTTAGGTTTTTAATTAATGTACAAAATTTCAGACGATTTGCTTTAGTTTAAGCTTTTAACTATCCATTTTTCCCTAAAAAATCAGCATTTCGCATGCTTAATTAATGCCTTTACCTAATTTGCATATTGCTGACATATGCAAATTAGGCAAAGGCATTAATTAAGCATGCAAATAGCTGATTTTGTAAGAAAAAATGTAAGTTTGCATTAATAGTTAAAGGGCTTAGACTAATGCAAATTGTCTGAAATTTTGTAGAGTAAATAAAACCCAACAAATGTTCCATCTATTAACTCAAAATATGATTAAAGCTTTTAAATTTTGTGCGCAAGCTAGTTTTTTGTTTGTTTGAAAAGACACACCCCCTGGTTCACAAAATTTGAGTTTGGGAAATTTTTTTCATTATTCTATATTATAAGTACCCAAATATGCGAAATTGAGAGGACATTCATGCGATGAGAGCACAACCCTTTTGCAAAATTGCGGTGTCTGTCACTCTGTGCTAAGTTTATCACAGCTACCATGGCAGACGGTCTGGTTTTATGTACCCAAGTGACTCAACGAGGACAAAAATACCGTCGTTCGAATCAGCGTACGAAATTGCACATACGGATGCCAAATTCATTACTAAACAGCAGTATTCTAGCGATTTATGGCCTTTGAAAGTCAAGCGACATTGTATTGTTGACAATTGACAAATTGCTCAAAATTATTAGAACTAATTAAAAATGCAGTAGGTTTGATCCTTGATAACTTTCGTGTTGTTAGTTTTCTCTTTTTCGGCCGTATACGAATGGATTCGTCTCACTTTTCTCTTCATTTTGATAGTATTTTGATCCGACAATAGTTTATTTTGAAGGTATTAAAGCGAAGTTATAAACAAGCGTGCGGAACAACTGCCCGCCAACAGTAGGAATGTAGCGTACTACAAAATGATATATCCTTTACTTGTAGCACAGCTCGTAGGCGGAAACACTGGAAAGTTTTATTTGTAAAGCAGCGCATTTTAGTACCGTGTCTGGTTTACTCTGTTCTTATAAAAGCATGATTACCATTTAGCAGTATTTTATCGAGTTTATATGTCATGACAATTGTTCCTGTGCATCGCTGTCTTTGTATTTCTGTCTTTGCCGGGCTATAATTTGTCATTTTGACTGCTTAACAGGATTTATTTGGCATTAATACGAATCAGACAAAGGACATTTAGGAATAGGTCTTCAACGTGGTGTTGATTTTTCGGCAATAATAGCGAGGCTAATAAACAAAACAGTAGGGACTGATATGCATGCTTATTGGATTCTTGTGTCACACGCAGAAATATAGCTAAAAAATGCAAAAATTGTCAACTTCCTGATTTCTTAGAAATACTATGTGCCGCAAATTTTATTGTGTGGATGTGTGGAACAGCATCCGATTTCAAAGTTTAAAAGCGTTTTAGAACCTGGGCAGGTGCCACAAATGAAAATTCTGCAATGTTTTAGGACTTATAATTCTCGAATTTGATATCATGCGTTGAAGGGTCTCGATTAGTAATTTTTTTATTTGCCAGGTGCAACTATAAACAGCTATATATTACTGTTTCTTAGTAGAAAGAGCACTCTAGTGCAGTTCAGACCTGAAAACGAAGCTCTGATCAGCACAGAAAATAGAAAAATCTGACTGTGTTGTAGGCTTTGGCGATTTCAGAAACCGGCATATTTTAATAAACAATTAGGTCCTGGGACAAAACGTTTGAACGATCTTAACTCCAGTTTCGTAGTTAGGATAGATGAGAGTATCGACGGTAGAAATATAAGAGAAATCTATTTTTGAAGCCCAGATCGAGTGGTCCGCTCTTACAGAGACGCCCTCTTAAATTTGGTTCGAAATAACGAAATAATATACAAAATAATAATAAATATATACGAAATAATACACAAAACTATGCAAGAACATTTCACTTTATACCATCCAATATATATGCACACTAATACCCAATATATATGCAAACTAATGCGCATATAACTTCAATTATTCAAAGTTGCGCTTGAATAAATACTAGATAGCTCATAACGCTGAGTATACTATCAAAATATCAAATAAAATTTTAATATCAGCTTACCCTTCACTTCATGTTTCATGCGCTCACTTTCTGAACTGCTTAATTTTGTGCCTAACGTAGGATACACACAATTTCCATATTCATCCCATTTCAGTCTGGGAGTCTTGTACTTCTCCACAGTAGCTGAACCGAACTGAAAGCAGTCTTTGGTAAAGTGTTGTGAGCCCACACCTGACAAATGTGTTGGCGTCCATTTGTCTCTTCTCTGTCGAACAAAGTTGAGCCATATTTCATCCTTCGTTTAGTTGTTATGGGCGAGTTTTCATTCCAAAAAGGTATCTCATACATTGCTTGTATCTGCAGTGTTAGAACAGCCATAAACAACACATCGTTTGGGCATTTTTTCAGTAAAACTCTTTAAGATAGTTGTCTTCTTCTATACAAAAGCCTAGTTGTTATTGAAGATGAGTTCCTCGGATCCAGGCCCCTGTGTGTTATTTTGGTGGCACTACTTTTTTCAAAAAAATGGCACAATTTGCATGTTTGAGGCGTTATATCTCCGAAACTAAAGTTTAACACAAAAACTAATCCAGAACTTTTTAACTAACTTTTTATGCTCTATCCGAATCACCAAAAACACATTTTGGGTTTATAAGCACTTTAAAGGGTATTTTTGAGTAGAAATATGCGATCAAACACTCACAAAATTAGACTGCATTAATGTTGGTTGAATCTAGTTTAAAGTTATCTTTTTAGACAAACTGTTTATGCAAATTTGGGCACAATTTCGACTGTTTTCGTGACCCCATTCTTGGTCTTCTTGTTCAAGTTGTTATTTTAGCTAAAGTATGTTTCAAACGACACCAGGTTGTGCATACGTTTGGCAAGAATACTTCAAGTATTAAATTACACTAAACTAGAAGTTACTAACGCAAAGAAATGCTGCCTCGCGGCCAAAACTTTGGGTTAGGTTGTTCAAAATCTGTTTATAATCCGTGGACAATTCAAAACTAAACAACACTATAATGGAAACATAACATTATTATAGTTTTTAAACAATAAAAATTGTATTTTATTGTATTGTAAGAATCACGTGCATATATGTTAGAACAATATTATAATTATCTAAAATTAAGAAAACAGTTCTCTGTAATGAAACAGGTCATTTTCTGAGCACTCCAAACAATAGTAGCTAATAAAAATTAACAAATTATGGGTCATTCCACGGCTTATTTCTCCGACAATATATATGTATAATGTGACCCGCAGGGCTACCTCCACAAATTTAGCTATTATGCGATTGTCACTAAGGTTAATGTCACTAAAATTCTTAGACACAAAGTCAAGTGTGTCACCTCTAGAGTAATAACCTGGAATGATTCACAGTTAGTAATAACACTATTAATAATGGATAAATATAATGCACAAGAGCCAAGGACTGTTTATACTATTAACAATGCAAAAATAACATTATTATGTATACCATAACAACACTATTATACAGGGTGTCCCCAAAAACCCATTGAAATAACGTATTGTTAAATTTAAATGCCCTAGCACTAAGCCGAACGCAAAGTGCCAAAGATGTGTAAAGTATTTACAAGGGTGCATGTATTAAATATTGACTTATTAAGAAATTAAAATATCTTTGTAAAGCACACGATTTTCTGCTCTTGGGACTTTAAAACAGCTTCTTAAACGGTTTTTATGCATAAAATTTACTTACGTCAAGCTTTGATGCACGTGTGGGTTCAGCAGAGTGCTTCAGCAATACATTTATTTCAATAGTTTCCGTTTCAATAGTTTTCATTTATTTCAATAATTTCGGAATTTCCCAAGAAATCGACATTATTTTAAAGACAAAATATTTTAGGCGCCTGGGAATTTAAAATGGCACAACTGTCAATATTAATATGGACATGCGAGTGCATAAAGCAAAATTTATGCATCTATTTAATGCATAACGACAGTAATGTGATCTATTAGCGATTCGATTCAATTTCCAGGGGCCTAAAATATTTTATGCTTAGGAAATTCCAAGGTTTTTTTTATACACCCTGTATATACTATAACACTATTAATAATGGAAGCGCATAACACTATTATAAATCCTATCTGTCTGTATAATGTTTTTTTACAAAGAACTGTCAAAAGCTACATGTCTTGTAAGCAGGTGAACTTATTAATGATCTTATGACACTATACAAGGCTATACAACACTATCAATGTTACACAAGACTATACAACACTACTGTATGTAAGGCTATACAAGACTATACGACACTATACAGCGTTATACAAGACTATACGACACTATACAAGAGTATACAACACTTACGACACTACACAATAATATACAAGGCTATACGACACTATACAACACTATATAACGTTATACAAGACTATATAACAACATATAAAGGCTATACATCACTATATGACACTATACAACGTTATACAAAACTATACAACAACATATAAGGTTATACAACACTATACAACACTATACAACGTTATACAAGACTATCAAAATTACGACACTATGCGACACGTATACAACGTTATATAAAGCTATATAACAATATATAAAGCTATACAACACTATACAATGTTATACAAGACTATGCAGCACTATAATTATAAGGCTATATGACACCATACGACACCATACAACGTTATACAAGACTATACAACAATACATAAGGCTATACGACACCGTACGACACTATACAACGTTATACAAGCCTATATGACACTATGCAAGACTATACAACGCTATACTACACAAAACTGTGTTTTGAATCAAGCTGCATTGTTATAACTCGGTCAAGGAAACTGGCACGAGTCATAACGTCAAAATCAGTTGAGTTGTAAAGCTTTCAAAATGCTTTTTTACTGATTATATCCCTATAAAACTTTAAGTCGATAAAGCAGATAATAATGTTGATGCAACATCATTTTCTAGTAACTACATATTGAATCAGAAGGAAAAGTTATCAAAATAGGTCACGACGGTTGTTTGCAAAATGTTGTTTATCTATGAAATGGCTTCCTTTGCGGGAAGTCATGAAATTGAAGTCCTAACAATAACTAACCTTAGCAGTTCTTTTGGGCCCATTGCTCACTTTATCATGAAATCGCTTCACTAGAACATTTTTAATAATGTCTATGGAAAACTTTGTAATATTCTGAACTAAAAGTTTATGGTTTCGAAGTGTTTATTTTATAAAATAGCATGCATGACAAAATGGCACTAATGTGGTTTCTCACTTCTGACAAACAACCAAAGATGAAAGTTCTTATTTCACCCTTTTATAGCTATGTGGAATACCTGAATATTACATTATCTTTTTCATGTGAGCATATAGATAACATTTCTACACAATAGTCCTTATGAAGGCTTATTTCAAACTAAAAAAACGATTGTTTTTCAGAGCCAGACTTCAAAAGAAACCGCCTGTCTGACATTTTATAGCAGCCTACATTGGCGCGCAAAATAATTTTGGCTAAAAACCGTTGCTTTTCCAACAAAAACATGAGAAAATTGAGCTAAAAATCTTACCTGATGTATGTTTAAAATGTTTTTTCTCTTTATGATGCTTTTCTCTTTATGATGCTTTTCTCTTTATGATGCTTTTCTCTTTATGATGCTTTTCTCTTTAGGATGTAAACAGCGCTTTGTTTGGTTTCACAGGCCACGAATGGTTCTGGTTCGAATGAGACCATTACGAAAAAGTTATGTCCAAAGGGGCCGAAGTTTTGGTCAACGAAATATATGGTTAGTTTACATTGTTCGTTATATGATGAAATATGATACCATACCTTACTTGTTAAAATTCACGTCGTACTATTATTGTATTAGGCAAATGTCGAGAACCACGCAATAAATGTTTTAGTTCTTTACTACCACAAAGTTTTGCGCACGGATTATATTTTGCACAGTACTAAAATTTGTGCACCCAGCATGGCGCAAATTCTAGTACTGCGCTAATTTTAATACTGTAAGGTATATTGTGAACATTTGACTAAAATTATAATGACAAATTGACAATACTCAACTTTGAACAGACAATAGTTTATAAATTCTTAAACTCTTTCATATACATAGTAGCCAGAGATTTGTAGTAGGTAACCATAACATAGGTAGCCATAGACAAATTAGGCTTCATAACAGAGATATAAACCCTGTTTCCCTCGATATTTGCAACTTTATTATTAATTAAACCGGTTCATCACATTGATAAATAAACATTGAATATAAAAACTAAACTTACAGATATTATCACTTTATGTACTGAAAATTGCAGTTAAACACTTTAGACAATACTCGACTTTTAACAAATAGCAGTTACATCCTCAAACTCATAAATATACATAATAGCTAGAGATTTAATATAGTACAGGTATAGCCATAAGTAGGTGGCCAACATAGGCGTACCGGGCGGGCGGGGGGCGGGCTGGGGGGGGCGGTAGCCCCCCTAGTTTGTTCGGCAGTCGGGCAATATTCAATCAACAGTCGGGCAATTTTGGTTTGCAATTAAAAAAAATGGGACAAATTCTGTAAATTTTGTGTAAAATTAAGTAAATTTTGTGGCAAATTTTGTGTTTTTTCGAAAATTTGTGTTATGTTCTGAAAAATTTTGGTGTCCCGAAAATTTTTTTGACCTCTAAAATGGTACACTGACCGAAATTTTTTTGGCGACGGGGGGTGGGGGTGGGGGGGTGGTGTGGAGGTCGCCAAAATAATTTTTCCGGAAAAAAATTTTCAGTACTAGTCGGGCACAATCCCGAAAAGTCGGGCAATTTTCTTTCCGCCCCCCTAAATTTTTCCTTCCGGTACGCCCATGGTGGCCAATAGCCATAGACTGATAGACATCGTAGTCTTCATAGCAGAGTTACGAACCCTGTTTCCATCGATATTCTCAACTTTATATTAACCCGGGATATTCGGAACTTTCGATTAAACCGGTTCATCACATCGATAAATAAACACTGATTATTTAGACTAAACTTACAGATATTAAATCACTTTAATAGTAGTCTTCATAGCAGAGATATGAACCCTGAAAGGCTGTTTATAATTTTGATTGTTTTCCTCTTTCATCACATCGATAAATAAACACTGAATACAAAATTTTGTTGAACAATCCCCTCAAATTTACAAACGAACTTGAATACATAATATGTCCCGGAAAACCGACATCTCCCCCTCGTCAAATCGAGATTTCGACTATACATAACTCGGCCGGAAGGACTGGACATGAAAAAGCAAGAACGTCATGTGAAGTCAAGAATAGTGTGCTGCCTCTCTGACGCTCAGCAGCAATAAAATCAAAAGTGGTGTTTCCACTATGAAAACTGTATTGTTCCATTTTTCAGTTGTATTGATTGGAAATGAATTAGAAATGTAATTGCCTGTTGCAGAATGCAGAAACTGCGAAATAATTTTGTTTTTTATCCAAACATTAAATTATAAAATATCTTCAACATTTCTACAGATTCAGTTTTTTCTTTTATCTTTTAGGCAGTGGTAAAGCCATTTAAAAGTTGTAGTAGATTAACTTTAAATATAACCGTAATTAAACAAAGTTGACATTCGAAGAAAAGATTTGTCATGTATGATGTTATGTTTTGTTATACTACATTTTGGGTGATATTTTTCCATCGTTCTTGCACTATGAACTGATATTTTTCGATCTTTCTTGCATTATAAAATTGATAACAAATTGCAAATCCTTACGCACTCCTTGAATGCCTATTTTTTATTAAGTATGTTTTTGTTTCTCATGCATGTTCGGGATACTGGCACATTGTTGGAGACTGCCAAAACTTACCAAATGCATGCCGATGTCTTGGCAAACAATCATACATTCACTAGTCTTTTCACCCATACAATCCTGCACTATATTCATCACGTGCTTGTCAGGTGAAAAACACACTGCCCAAAGATTTTATTCTTTATTCTAGTAGATGTGTCATAATACTCAGTAGTTGCAAGAGATTGGATACCTGATACCGTTGCACTATTGAGAAAAAATTATTTACCGCCGGCATACTGACACGAATATTTAATCCCCTGTCTGCAATACGTTTTTAAAAAATCACAATATTTTGCCTGCTTCAAGTGATCAGGATAATTTTTAGTTGTGGTTAATGCCTAGACAGGAAATAATAAAATATTTAATTTTCAAGAAGTTAGAATAAAAGTGCGAGCTGAAAGTGAGATATAAAAAAGCTCAAATATCACTTGCACAATTAACCATTTAAACATGTTTTTGAACACGTCCGAAAATAATTGTGAAAAAAAAAATAAAAACTAACTACAATTCCAAAGTCAACGTTTTTTGTTCATTTTATGAATGACTTTTTCCACACAGAAAGTATGAAGGAATTCTGTAATCTTACGAAATTCGAGTGGTCGGTTTTTACACGGACTGCCTCTTAATAGCCTATATGTTATAATATGAGCATACATCGAAGGTCAGCTCACAGTATTGAAAAACTACAAAGTTGTATAGGCCAAACGCAGTTCAAAATTCACCGGCATAACATGAAAATCATCATGAATTCCTGTGGTTAGATTTGTTTCCATGTAGATTCATTGAGCAATCCATGATTAACTCCACAATATTGCTGCAAATGTGTATATAAATAACCACAAACACCATTCAATAGCTGTGAAAAATCAGTCAAACTATCCTGAATCATATCCCTTTATAATGAATCTTGAATGTTGGTGTGAGATCTGCAAAACAGAAAAAAAAGGCTTACAAAATAATCAAAAGTTTTCAGTATAGATGTATCGACAACAGGTCTTCAAATTCAAAGTTAAAAGGTTTTGTTTTTTCACATAAAATTTTGAAATCCAACATGTTCTACTTTAAAACGTGTCTTCTATTACTTTAAAAAGAAATTCTTACCAGAACTTACTGCCTCGTAGAGGCAGCATACTAATTCTGTCGGTCCCAGGCTTTCCGCGAGTTATGTGGAGGAGACAGGGAGAAAAATTTGAGATTTTAGAACAATGGATTGATGAAGTTTTGTGACGTATGATTCGTTTCAGTGCATAACTTCCGGTTTCTTCCTGAATCAGTCTCGTGGTGTGGTTGGCAAGTTTAATACAACAACATTTTTTCAAAAAATATCGAATACTCTTTCCGTTTTGGGTTGTTGTTTCAAAGTAAGTTATCCTGAAATGTTATATGTTTATATTTATCTTGAATTGCTGTAGGTTTTACAGTAATGTACATCGACTGTATTTACACATACAACATTTCTGTCTACAGTATTAAATATGAAACAGTAAATATATACATCGACTGTACTTTATACATTTACAACATTTCTATCCCTTCTAGGTGTATACTTTGGTGTGTGTTCGCGGGGATCTTTTGGTCAAATCAAATCAAAGGGGACTGTTCATTTTATATGTTTCAAAAGCAGTGAAGTGTGAGCTCGCTGTACCTGTATTACCAAACTTGCTAGCGAAGTGTGATCTCGCTATAATATTTATACTAGCGAAGTGTGAACTCGCTATATTTTTATATTTTATACTAGCGAAGTGTGATCTTGCTAGCTGGGCAATCGTTGGCAATAATAAAGTTGTTTCATGTTGTCAAAAGATCAAGTCATCAAGGTATTGTATATCAAAAGTTACAAATATATAGGTTGTGTGTCAATAAGAAAATTGCCAATAAAAATAGTTATATATCACAGTAAAATGATCATCAGAGACAGAATAAAATTCACTCAGATAGCCGGTGACAATGTTTATTTACCATTGTTACTGAGATTAGCCAACGATGTTGAAGAAAACCCTGGGCCTACTGTATATGATGTAGTTGACCCAAGCAAAACTATTTGTGCTGATTTTAGCCAAGACAATGGTAGATTATTCAGATATAATGCTGCCAAGCAATGTGTTGCCATGTCATTGACATCAATAGTACACAGCAAAGTCAAAAATGTGAATGAATGAGATTCGTTATTCTTGAATTTAATTTTATGTTCTGGAAATGACCTTTATACTTACATAAGCAATTCTATTGGAAAAGAATTTTTACTATTATCTGAAGTACCAGAGTATGTTTTGGTATCCAGTCAAACATTTCATGTGACTTACAGTGCCTCATTTGGGGGAGATTTGTTTATGAATGCTACCATGTTACCATACTATTCATTGGAAGATTCGCTAAATAGCTTGTTCTCTAATTCTCAATATCAATATTGTCTTTTGACAATAAATAGCAATTGTGTTAGCATTATTAAAACTTCTGAAGGGCTTTACAAAGTTTTTGATCCTCACTCAAGAGATACTTACGGTATTCCTGATCCAAATGGTAAATGTGTTTTGGTTTCAATTGATAGCATAGGAAATTTAGTAACCTACTTTCAAAATACTATACCTGTACGAAGTGTGACACCATTTGAAATAAAAGGTGTAACAGTTGAGCTAATGGCATTTGAGTCAGCAGAACAAACAGACACTTCAGGTCAAAAAGCAAATACAAATAGAGCTTCTTACAAAAGGCGACAAACAACAGAGAGTGCAAGTCATAAACAAGCTTGGTTGGAAAATGCTAGGATCTACAAAAAGAGAAAACAACCCGAGAAAGAAGTAAGAAATTTACAGAATCAGGGTGATTATCTTGAAAGGTTTGACATCACAAATGGTGGTATTTATGAACAAGCTTGGGCAAAATTTAACATGCAAAAGTTTAGCAAATCCATTCATTATATTGTAGCCAAATGCACAATTTGTAAAGAAGCATGGCCTGTAAAAGCATCTTCAAAAATATCTGAAACATATGTATGCCAAAGGTGTTCTAGAGATAAGAAATCTCCAAGAAAATTTTCATTTGAAAATTCAATGATTCCATCCCCTCAACCTGTCCAGTTACAGGGTTTGACTCAAGTGGAAGAAATGTTGATTGCTCAAGCTCTCCCAATTATGAGAGTTTATATTAAGCCTGGTGGGCAGAGGGGTTACTCAGGTCATTGTGTGAATCTGCCACAAAATATTACAGAGCTGGCAACATCATTGCCACGATATCCGAGAGCATTATCTGTAATTCTGGTTAAAGTGAAAGGTAAAAACAATACATTTAAAGATGTAAAAGTAAGAAGAGAGAAAGTACATAATGCATTATTGTGGTTGATACAAAATAATCCTCTTTATGCTGAGTTAGAAATAGATACTGATGCATTGAATTCTTTACCAGAAAATGGTGTTCCAACTGATCTCATGGCTGTTGAGACTGAAGATGATATAATTAACGATAGTGACATGATGCCTGATGAAGGCCCACTTACTGATAACCCAGATGAGGACATTGTTTATAATAACTCCACAGAATTAGTAGTTTTCTACCAGTTGGTGAACAGAAAGTACAAGAAAAGGAAGCTGTTAGAAACCAGCTGTCAGGTAATGAAGCAATTGCATGGCCAACAGTTGGAGACCAAGCTTTAAACGAATATCAAATATCTTGCCTAGCCACAATGGCCTTTCCAACATTATTCCCAGATGCAAAAGGGGATCCAACTAATGAAAGCCTTTTGAGAGATGTTTCTTTTGCAGAACGAATTAAACATTTAATTAAATATGGTGAGTTCATTGATTCAAAATTTTCATATTGGGCGCTTAATATGATTCACAGAAAAAGAATTTTGCAACAGAGTGGAATATTTCTCAAGCAAAATCCAGGTGAAGCACATCTCACTATTGATGAACTACGTGAAATGGCTGCAGGTAACAACTCAGCTGCATTCATGTCCAAAATATCAAGATATATTGGAAATATTTCAGGTAGTAATGCATATTGGAATAAAGTTAGAGAGGAACTGGAAGCTATAATCACGAATGTTGGGGCGCCAACCATTTTCTTTACATTTTCATCAGCTAATATGCACTGGCCTGAGTTACACTCTTTACTGGGAACTGATACAGCCAATTCTAGCATTGATATAAGACGACAAAATGTAATAAATAATCCACACATTGTGGACTGTTTTTTTACTCAAAGGCTAGAATGTTTTATTAAACACTGGCTTTATAATACCCTAGGTGCAAAATGGCACTGGTTTAGATATGAATACCAAGGTAGAGGTAGTATTCATTGTCATGGTACTGCTAAACTAAATAATGACCCAGGCTTGTGTCAACTTACTCAGACTCAGACTGCTTTGAAAGGATTCTTGTCTCAGAAAGTCAAAGACGAGAATAGTATCCTAATTGACACAACAGAACTCGATCAGGATATTGAAGCTGGTCAAAAAGCAGCTGACACAGTATGTCAGTATGTTGATTGGTTGTTATCAACTGTTAACCCCAACCCACCAGATGAGAATATCTGGATACGACCAAATATTCACCCTTGCCAAAAATGCCATGGTGATATTACTGACGAGGAACAAAATAGTGATTATATAGATCTTTTAAATATGGTCCAGCGACACACTCGCTGTAGCACAAGTTACTGTCTAAGAAAGAAATCTAATGAGTCAGAATTAAAATGTAGGTTCCATTTTCCTTTTGTTCACTGTCCACAGACTAAATTAGAGTTTGAGAAAGTTAATAGTAAGGATGACAACATCCATTATAAAGCAAGAGTTGTTACCAGACGAAATGATTCAAGGGTGAATAATCACCAACAAGTGCAGTTGCAAGGCTGGAGAGCAAATTGTGATATACAGGTTGTAATTGATCATTATGCTTGTGTTGAATATCTCGCAAAGTATGCTGCTAAGGGTGAACCAAGGTTATCTGTTCTTAAAGATGCATTTAATAATATCATGCAAAAAGTCGGCAATAATAGTGATCCTCACAGAGCTATAAAAAAAGTAGTAATGAAAACAATGGGTGAAAGAGACTATGCAGCTCAAGAGACCATGCATCATTTGTTGTCCTTAAAACTCCACAGCTCTTCATTTGAAGTCATTCCAGTAAGCCTTAATGGTTCACGAAAAGAGTACGTGACAGTTCTGCTATTGAAGATGGTGATTCCTGTACCAATGATTCACTACTTGACTTTTATGCAAATCGGGAACAGCTTGATAATTCTCGTCATATTATGAACATGAATTTTGTTGAGTTTGCCACAAGTTTCAAAGTTGCTAACAATAAATTAACAGAGTTGCCTGAACATGTTATATCAAGATTTTTTCCAACTTATTCGCCTAATCCTAGAGGGTCAAATTTTGCCCTTTATTGTAAGTATCAACTACTGAGATACAAACCTTGGACAAAGACTCAGAGTGATGTATGGGGTGGCCAAGAAAATCCAACAGATGAACTTTTAATTGATGCTTGGAAAGAATATTTGCAAACACCTTCTGCGCAAGAGCCAGTGCCAGACTGGCTTGAGAAACTACAGTGTATTGTTCAGAGTCAACATGACACTGGTGATCAATCTTGTGATGACCAAGGCAATACTAGAGAAGAATGGATGATCTTATCTGATCTTAACACACCATTTGAGAACTTGGAGCAACTACCAGTATTAGCAAATGAATGGCACCATGACACAAATCACTATTCTGAACAACAAGTTAATGAAATGCCAACTTGGATAAAAACCATGAGACAAGATCATGTTGTTAATGCTGACTATGATGTTGTCGATATAAACAGTTTCAGTGAAATGCAGAAACTAGGTTATGATATTGTGAAAATGTTTCATTACAGAAAAACCCACTGTGTCTCATTGTTATTGGTGTTGCTGGCACTGGTAAAAGTTATCTTATCACTGCTCTTCGCAATCTTTTACAAACTAAATGTGCTGTTACTGCAACAACTAGTAAGGCTGCTTATAATATAGGAGGTATTACTATTCATTCTTTGTTAAAGTTGCCAATTGGATCCCGTGGAAGAAATGATCTTACAGGTCAGAGCTTGTGCAGACTCCAAGAATCCTCGCATGGAATTGAGTATAATATTATTGATGAATATTCTATTCTCGGACAAGTAACATTTGGTTGGATTGACAAACGTTGCAAACAGGCTACGGGGTTTCACAATAAAATTCTTGGTGGAAAGTCTCTTATTCTTTTTGGTGATCCAGGTCAGTTACCACCTGTGGCAGACAAACCGCTCTACCATGCCAAACCATCAAGTGCTGTTGGTGAACAGGGGTTTCAAACTTACAGAATGTTTGATAGAGTTGTTAAGCTTACTGTCAATCAGCGAGTGCAAGGTATGAGCGCAGAACAAATCCAGTTTAGAGAATTGTTGCTGAGGCTTCGAAAAGGAGAATCCACGGTTGATGACTGGAAATTATTGTTGACACGTCAGCCATCTGCTGTCACAAATTTGTGTGATTTTCAGGATTCCACTCGACTACTTTACAGTAATGAACAAGTTGCAAATTACAATCATCAGCAACTGACCAAACTTAAACATCCAGTTGCTCAAATTCGAGCATGCCATTCATCTGCAACTGCAGCAAAAATACCAAGTGAAGATATGTCTGGTTTGGAACCAATAGTATTTTTAGCAAAGGGTGCGAAAGTGATGCTGACCATGAATTTGTAGTCTTCTGTCGGTCTCTGTAATGGTGCGACTGGAATAGTTGTGGATTTTATTTTTAAAGAAAATCATCAGCCACCAGACTTACCTGTTGCGGTAATGGTTGAATTTGAGAACTATAAAGGTCCATCATTTGATGAAAGCAGACCATCATGTGTTCCAATATGTCCAATAACAGTCTCTTCACAAAGTGGTATGCATGAGAGGCAACAGTTACCTCTTAGACTTGCGTGGGCTCTAACAATTCACAAAAGCCAAGGTCTAACACTACAAAGTGCTTGGATAGATATTGGAAATACTGAACGGACTGCACGAGTGTCTTATGTGGCAATTAGTAGAGTAAAAACATTATCATCCTGTGTGATAGAACCCATGACATTTGAAAGATTGACGAGCTTAAAATCACCAGCTAATTTACAGTTTAGACTTGACGAAGAAAGGAAATTAGATGATCTAGCAGAGAGTACATACCATACATTGTCATCCAAGCATTCTGGGTAAAAATTGATACTATGTGATTTCCATGAGTATACATGTATATAACATTGTAGTTATATTTGTATAGTTATTTTAATAGTTATGTTTATAGAGCCCTTCTAACCCATACATGCATCTTTTAATTTAATAAAAATGGTAAGTATCTAATTCTAACTAAATCATACTCTGTCTATAGTTTTTTGTGTATATTAATCGTGTTTATTTTATTGATTTTTAGGCTTATATAGTGATTCTTTACATTGGACCATTGTGGAATTTCGTTTCATACAACAATGACATATAATTTCTGTCTTTCCGTCATGAACTTACAGTACAACTCACAAGACCTCGTCATATTGTTTCAATTTAAAATGGCATATATATAATGCTGTGATTGAGAATTGTGAAGTGCATTTGGAGGATATGATGTCAACAGTTTGATTTGCTTCCATGGACATTGGACAATAAATTGTATTGAATAACTGAAACAGAAAGCAAGCTGTTGAATATTCCCACCATCGGGTTGTCTTTAGGAAAATACTGCTGTGCTGTATTAAAACTACTGGTTGACAGTGTACTGGCATCACATGAAAATATTCAAAACTTCCTGAGTTGATGTATTTTCCAAATGACTATACCAAAACAATATGGCTGAGTGAACATTGAAGCAAATACTGTAACTTGAGTAGAAAGTTAACGTACAGTCTGATCCTGTACAGCGCATGTTGTAAAATCATGTGGACAACTCATTCTTTTTTAGATTATGATATACCTATAAACTGTCTGTGCCAATGTAGATAGTGCCAATGTAAACTTGCTGTAATGTGTGGGTACTTTACTACCTGAAAAATAAGCACAAACTCTGAAAAGAAACTCGATTGCCATTAAAGAATAAACTAACACGTATTTTCCAGTTAGTAAAAGCTGACATTGGAATATGTGGTTATAATAAATCAAACATATAGTTTTAGTTCTCTTAAGCCATTTGTATTATTATGTATATATTAATTAAAATTACTCTTACTAATGGACTGTACTACAAACAATAATGGACTGTACTGTACTACTGCCCTCCCCCTTGTGAAAATTCTGACCAGTACAAACATGTGCATTATATAAAAAACGTTCATTGTACTATATCCTTGGATAGTGTTAGAGTCCAAATACATTTTCACATAATAAACAAACTTTATTAGAACTAGTGAGCTCAATATCAAACAGAAACATCGACTCAACATGACGGGATAGGACGTAACTTTGGGCTTTTGTGCAGAAGTACAAATTAATCCAGTTCATATAGAGATCTTTGATTCAATCACTGGATTTGATCAAGGCATCATGGGTAAGCTTCGGTTCGAAGCCCCGTCCGCCCTTTTCGAATGAGCACATGCTTTGTTACAGTAACGCGATATAAGTACGAACCATTTTCATCGAAAAGAACCTTTTATGGTGAGTTGTATTGTCTTCATTGTTAATATCTTTTTGTTTTTACGATTGCTTGTAATTAATAACTACTAGGAATCACGATTAGACGTAGTAAACGCTTTTTTTTCATTTGCGGCATATTTTCACAGTATGCGGCCATGCGGTGGCAGTTGTACTCCGACTCCATGTTCGAAATTGTAGTGCTAACGACAAATCCACGTATTGTACAAGTTTTCAGGTATAAATTTATTTTAATGATAAAGTTCTCATTCTTTTTAGATGAGTCAAGAACACCAAGGAGCTTCAGGTATGTTTTTCGTATATTTTAAAGGATTTGTGTTTTAGCCTTATTAAATATGCATTTTACATATGGCATTGCCGGGGTTTTTATTGTTTTTGCTCATCCAAAACAGTAACAAATAAGGATAAAAATTACTGATTTCATATCTCTCTCAGAAAAATCAGGTAAAGAAGTAAGGATTCGTAATGGATGGTTAGGATGCTGTCTGTATATGATGGAATGACGAAGAAAACGTGCTTGGCCGTTAGCATGAATTTGACCACGGATACCTCTGACCCTGCCCTGTCCGACATCAAAAATCTTGATCGAAATTCCTTTATTCTTTCTTTATAGAACAAATAAATCTGCCCGTCTTCTAGTGATTTGAAAAAAAAGGCAAAAAAATGTCCAGTTGTTTCAAGAAAGCAAATTTTCCATTTAGATATAGATGTTCCTATATCACATTCTGCCATACAAATTACCAAAAGGGGTAATATCAAAATCCTCCAACTAACATAAAACCACCATACAGGACATATTAAGAAGCGTTTCCCATAACAATATATAAACATCCTGTACCATTAATTAAACAACAAAAGGCAAATCACAGGTGAATTTTTGAAGTCAAAGCCAAAGGAACAGCCATGATAATGTTATCACATTGTTCTCTATTATATGAGCTTTGATACCCCTCTTGTGCCACTGGAAGAAGATGTAAACACCATCTCAACTTTCTCTGGCTCTATTCTTGGTGTACAGAAAGCCTCCAAATCCCTTGCATGCGTAGGCTGTCATAAAAGGTCTGTCAATGTAGAGGGAAATAAAGCTGTGTGCCAGGCATGTGACCTTTCCCAGATCGCAACACGATGTCCCAGCTTCTGGTCAGTCCGATTGTTAGTGAAACCAGATGAATCGTCCAAAAATGTCCGTCTGATTCTTCCCAGTCATATGCTAGAGAAGTTTGTTGCCATCACTGGTTCTTTAGTGGAACTGGACACCATTTCAGAGGAAGATTTGGTTTTCTCAATACTTGATTGCTGTTGCAAAAAATTTGATTTTGCATATGACAACATTGGAAATGAGATTACTAACATATCACTTAGTTAGTACCATATATTACATGGCTGCATGCCTTTGTTATTTATGCTCCTCATAAAATTTGTGCTTCTCAAATGTTCTGAAGCACTATGGACTTCAATTCAAATTAGTTTGTATTGACTTTGTGTTAACATTTCAAAGACTTATGTCTTCTTATTATAGTATGAAGCACTATGGACTTCAACTTAGATTACTATTAGCCATTGATATTAGGTATTTACATAATTACATGTAGGTTATGTTTAGGTTATGTTTTGTCACTATTTATAATGGGGAAGTAAAGGTGAACTATTGATATAATTAGCATTAAATAGCAATAAATAGCCTGTTAGCCATGTTATTTGTTACTTACCTTGCTTTTAATATAGAATTTAGTTCAGTTTCACATCCCCAACAGAGTAACAAAAGAAAGCTCTGCTTGTGTTAAGATGAATAAGATCTTCCAAAATTCTATACTTTCTGTAATATATATTCCCTTTGTGTTATATTCAAATAAATTAAAACTTGTTTTATTGCAGATTGCAGTATAAACATTTAAACAAATATTAACATTTGATTTCAAGCTGGTGAACATTCTCGTACCCAGAGCCCTTCTTACGCGCGTTCGACCGAGCCTGACGAGGGGCTCTGGCCAAATCCATATCAAACTGGCTTCTGATTGGCCACAACGAAATATATGGTTTATTATAATAAATATGAATAAAAATACACAAGCGCTCCACGAAGCGTTGGTTTCCCTTTGAAAATTGGGAGAAAAGACATTATTAAAGTTGAAAGAACAGCAGTACGAAGCAGTTAGGAAGATTGTTGTTGATAATCGCCCACAAAAGCGGTAGATGTCGCTAATTTTATTTATTTAAATCAATTAGTTGATTGAAATTAATAGGTTGAGACGTGATGTTCTCATAGCAAAAAGTCAACATATTTATGGCAGATGCTCGTCGTATTTCCATATCAGTGATGTTAATCAAACAAATCTGTGTTACATGTTCAAAGCTGAAGTGCCATCTGAAGAGAAAATATTAAAGCCAGCCAGAATATGAAGTTAATTGTGATGACTATTTTCTTCCTAGAAACCGATTTTTTACAATTTTCAAATGATTTGCAGTATAGTATGTCTTATGTATAACTGTTGACTTTTAATAAAACACAAAAAAGTCTAAAAATCTGTACAACAGTGACTTAAAATCGAATATAAAATAGTGAGACAATCTCTCGTCTTCGTATCCGTAGCCATTTAATACTGCTTTGGCAACGTTTAAGAGGGAAATATATACTAAATTTTTATCAACATGCATTGAGAACATCACGTCTTACCTACTAATTGATTTAAATAAATAAAATTAGCGAAACCTACCGCTTTTGTGGGGTTTTCCTGGAGAAAAACTTTCAAAACGAAACAAACAAGAAAGCCGAAGTGTTTATCCGCGTTTGACGTTGAGCATGCGCAGTGTTCAACCGGATACCATGTTTTTATGGTATCCGGTTATGGATTTGGCCAGAGCCCCTCGTCGTGCTACGTTGACCGCGCGTAAGAAGGGCTCTGGGTACGAGAATGGCTGGTGAACTGTCATCCTTGTCCCCAGAACCTCTCGGCCGCATGCGTCCTCCCCAGTCCTAGGCCCTGGGACACACGGAACTGGAAGTGCAAGAAAACTTGCAGTAGTTTCTAAAGCGCATGCTCTTGAAATGGGACACTTTAGCACCCATAAGAATTTTCACAGTGAAGTATTAAGAAGAAACAAAGTATTTGTGTTGACATATGTTGATAGAATAATTTTGCCCAGCGAAAACTGCTCAACTTCTGCGACATAGCAGTTCTCTGAGAAGCCAATCAGATCTCTTCCTTTAGTCGTCTATCCCAGATCCTAATTTTCAACGAGTGACCAAGTGAAAATGGCTCTGGGGACAAGAATGGTGAACTGTATAAAAACCATAGAACTTGCTGTCTTGCTCAGTCAACCAGGTTGACTCTGAGGTTGACCGGTGTAGCCTGCGTCACTGCGTGGCAGGCTCAAGGGAGAATATGAGCCTGCCTCCTGCAAATATATATACGGCAGCACTTCACTTGCGATAGTAACTTCTAGTTTATTTATTTACTTTGCCATCATACTTATACATTCATTGGCTGGGAAACCACAACAGCTATTGCCAATTACAGCGGCCCCAATAGTTATACAGAAACAATTTACAAGGTATGCTAAACACACACAACAGACAATACTTGAACAACAGTCATTACATTTGTCTAAAAGCAGCATGTCAATGGAGAGTTCATTAAACTTCGAGCGGAATTACATTTTATACACACACTTTTCCATGTCCGGGGATCCTCAACATCATATGTATTTTCTAATGCTAAAATATAGTACTTAAAAAGAAGATTCTTGAATTCTGAAAATGTTAGGTCTTTGGATGTAATATTGAGTAGTGTGTTCCATATTCTCGATGTTCGGATTTTGTAAGATTTTTCATAGGTTGACGTCTTGTATGTCAGAATTTTATATTTGTGCGAGTTGGGATTAAATGATCTTGTCTGTCTTTGACCCTGAGGTTGAGGAAATGGGGGGATTTTTTTATAAATATTAAAAATGTTGTGATTTGCCTTATAGAAGAATACTACATCCAGGTATTCGTGCCAGTAGCTGAGAGGGAGCATAACATATCGTTTCCACAATATATATGTAGAAACCACCGCATATCAAATGCAATCAAATCAACTTGTCCAGAAAGGGCTTGGATATATAGATAAGAAGGATAATCAGAAGGAAAAAATGAAGAAGGAATTGAAACAACTAAGAGAAGAAGCAGAAGATGGTGTGGAGTTCATAGAGGAAGATCATGCAGATCTGGTAGAAATTGTTAGCACAACCGAGACAAAAGACATGCCACCGGAGATGAAGTTGTTATTGGAAATTCAAATGAAACAGCTTTCTGCAAAATCTGCAAATGGTCATCGATGGGATCCACTTAGATATTGCAACTGTTATAAAATAATCTATTATTTTCACTGTATTCTGTACACATTTGTATCTTTGCCCTGTCATAATGTGGTAAGTCTACACAAAAACATTAACAAAGTGCAATTTTGTTACTCTTCCAAGCTTTTATGTTGCATTCAATTGAATACTTACATTCCAGATTTTACAATTATTAGGATTGTGAGACTTGTCTTGGATATTTATTGCAAGAGTCCAAAATCGCTGGACTCCATGCATGAATATATCATACTACCAAGTAATCGTCTTATCAGGTATAAACTGTTATACTCATACTAATTTTGAGGATTTTCCACATTCAAAAATATTTTCGGAAAATTAGTGATCTGTCGATCCAGCAACAAGTTCCAATATGCTTCCTTAAATTCACGTAATTTAGGTATTACAAAAATTCAGTAGACCAAAAACCTGGATGGAATCTCGAGACAATCGCATGGTGCAAACATGAGACTGAATGCCAAAAATTAAAAGAGCAAGATTACTGGGTTGGTTTGGTGTTAGATGAGATGAAAATCCAGGTAAACACGAATGTGAATGTATGTGAACGCCAAAGTTCATTAGTATTTGATTAAGAACGATTAGGACACATGCCATAGGTGGATCTTTGTAGTTAAATTCCTTGACTTCTAGCATTAGCTTCGTGCATATCTTTATAAAATGTTTATTGTATACAGGAGGACTTACAGATAACTGTGAAAGGCGGATGCCATCAGTTAACAGGAATGATCTCTCTTGGACATTTCCATGACGCAATGGAAAATATAAAATCTGGTAAGAAAATTACCATGCTTCTCATGAACATAACATCAAGATTATATCATGTACTATTTTTGTTTAGGTCAGTCATCTATAGATATAGCAATACACCTACAATTTATCTTCCTCAGCAACTGCGGTTTTCAATTTCCATTAGCACATTTTCCTATGAAACAATGTCCACCCTCTAGATTGTATCTGCAGTTTTGGGAAGGTATAATGCAAATGAAAAGAGCTGGTTTTACATAAGTTTCCTAAATTTCGGTTTCCCTATAATAAGCATGTATTCGTCTCAATTTTTCTAGTGTTTATCATGCAATTTGTGACGGTGGAGATCGAAATCATCTGTTTATCAACATTCATTTCCCAGACGCTAATTCACAAGACCTGCATTTCACTGGATGCAATATCTTGACAGAAGATCCAATGATATTTATAATGGATTGCAAGGTATTTTTTACTAAAGTATATTAGGCTACTGTGTTACTCTAGTACTTATTTTCTTGTTGAGTGAAGATTGATGTTGAGCGTTATGCAGAGATTTAGATGAAAAAAGAATTATTATATTGATATGATACATGAAGTAACTGACTTTTTATTAAAATTTTTTTGCGCGATGTAGCACAACGTTAAGAAGCTGAGAAATAACATCGAGAAAAAGCTCACCTCGAGGTAAAAGGCAACTTGAAAAGGATGGCAAGAAAATCCTGTGGTCTCATTGGGAACAAGCTTATTGTTGGGACCAAAGCAACAATTCTTGCCCCATTCATGAACGTTTAAAAGAAGATCATTTCCACCTTACCCCAAGCACCAGAATGAGGAATGCACTGGCAGAGGATGCCCTGGATAAGTGGATGTTATTGCTCATGCAGGTTAGAAATTTGAGATACATGTCATACACCGTTGGCTGTACTGGGTTTATTTCATAGCCATCATCAGGGAACATGATACATTATAAACATGAGAAAAACCCAACACTGCATTTGTCAACTAAAAGTTGACTCAAGCGGGATTTGAACTCGCATATCCAGCATACCGGACTGGATATGCGAGTCAACGTTTAGTTGAGAAATGCAGTATTGGGTTTTCCTCATGTTTATAATGTATCATGTACTGGGTTTGCCGGGTTTGTTTTTATTAATTTTCTGTACCTTCTCAAGTGTATGCATGGAAAATGGAAAATTTGCAAGACCCAATAAAATTAATAGTACAGTTCCTTTCATTTGGGCTTTAAATATTCAATTTCAAGGGTTGCTCTTATCATTTAACCATTAAAGAAGACGATCCTGGCAGACTAGATTTGACTATAACCTTACTCAAGCATACAAGCAACATGGCCGATTTATTCTCTGATAAGCATGGTATTTACCACATTAATGACAACTGGATATGTGCATTGAATGATTCGTTGAAATTGTTCACAGAATGGGAACAACAAACCACCACTGGTAAAGAGTTTGTGTCCACCAAGCTATGGTTTGACATGCAGTCTATGATTCTCGGCTTCACATCGATGGTAAGAGAACAATTATCACGGTTTCCTGGATCAGTGATAAAGCGAGCCATAGTCAACCAGGATTTAGTGGAGAATCATTTCTCTCATCTACGGAGGGGGGGGGGGATGGTCAAAACGAGAGCCTGACATATCAACTGACACAGGGAACCCACAACTTTGTCATTTTCGGCAGTCGATTGTAATTAAGAAAAGCAACATTGGGGGAATGAAGAGTAACTTGTTTGTTGGTTTGCCAAACAAGTCACTGTTTGGCATAAATAAAGTTGGCAGCTACTGCAGGGTTGCTCATCAATGAAAATGAACATAGTTTGTAGAATATTAGCCACTACTGCTATGGCCATTGCAGAACTGACAAAATTGTGGAGTTTTGCTGATTCACATAGACAGACATTAATTTTAAGTTTGATCGTTTGTATTAACTGTTTGTATTAACAATGTCAATAGTGTAGAAAGAGCCACAATGTAAACTATTGGGAAACCAGTAATATATGCACGCATATTACGCAAATAAAGTGTTCAGAAGTTGTTTATACTCTTCGTAATCATAATACTGGGACTTGGTTGGTGACATTTGCAGGCAGTGGTAATTTTTCAATCTCATATCTTGGTACACACTTTATGTGACCCCTTATTATAGTGTATCATAATGCTCTAGATACTCAAGCCCTGAATAACTATCACTAGCTCTCCTTAGGCCTCCTTAGGCCTCCCTAGGGCTCCTTAGCCCTCCTTAGGACTCCTTAGACATTCCTAGTTCATAGACATACTTAGAGTTAGCTACATTTTGGAATGGTATATCTTTAATTGAAAATATTTTGTTTTTGTCAAGGATCACCTACTTGTGTACCACGCGAAATAGGATTTATGTGCAAGTTAAGGTGGCTTCATATAGTTATCCCTAAAACCCTGCTCAAGAATCGCGAACAAAAGCAAAATAAAAGAACTTCCTAAATGACCTGACTACAAAATAAAGACCTGAAGTGAGATCTGTAAACAATGTTATACTAAGACGCTTGGGCCGAAGTTGCTTATAGTTATTTGACTTCCAATAATAGTAATTGCATTTTGTGAGTCATGTGTGTAAATTTGGACAAGTTGGTACATCAGTTCTGTCAGTTTCGAAGTTTACAGCCATTAGTGGATAAATAAATAATTGACAGCGAAAAACATACACATGGTTATTGCAGCTTAACCCATTCAGTATAATCGCACCCGGATGCCAAATATTTATTATTTTACTCTGTCCAGCGCCAAACGATTTCACTCGTCAAGGGGAGAGTGTTGGCACTTAATGGTTAAGCAGTTGCATAATTTATGGGACGAAGTCATTGATATACATCATATGCGCATGTGCAGATCCACAATAGTCATGTATTTTGCAATTCAGGAATTTCGCTTCACAATTGGACTGAGAGCATCTCCCATGGATCTTTATTTTTTTAGGTTCCCTTCCCAATATTGCCGCTTGGGTTCTTTCCGATCTCCAATAGAGTTGTTAAATTAAAAAAATTATATACATTACCTATTTAATGTTTCATGATTTTAATAGCAAGAATTGGGTGAGGTAAGAAATAGTAAATAACTGTTTTCGTGCTTTTTTTCAGTTTCAGAATTGTTTGGTCAAAGTTGCCATTTTGGTATTTTCACTCCTTCAAATAAATGTTTGTCATTGCATGAAATTTGGAGAGAGAGAGCAGGCAATGTTGAAAACATTATTGGACGAGTTTATGTCCGAACCTACTCACCCTAGATATGGATGTATTATACAAACAGAAATGGCCATCACACTTCCTAAAGTGTTTATATGGTGTCCGTTAAAGCATTATAATATCAAAGTATTATGTCCCAAACATAATGTTCCAATGGTATTTCATTGTTGGACATCGAATGTGAACGCGGATAGTTTTCATCAACCTAGATTTGTTTATGATCTATATGGAAATACTGTACTTGTCCAAGCAATTTACAGATGTCCAAACACAAATCAGTTTGGTTCATCTTTACATCATGAATACCACTCAGCATCAAAAGACATTCTAGCAGTTCTTCCTTCAGAAATTACACAAAAATTTCCGTTCAAACTTTTTTACCGTAGCGCTTGTTCTATCGATTTACTTGATTATGTTATTGTTCACATTGGACGAGGTCACAACTTTTTGGAATTGTCCAAGGACATTGCTTCACTTAACTTTCGAACATTCATTCGTCACAGCAGCATATCTAATGATGAAAATTAATATTACTCCAATACTATGTACAGCAGTCCCAGCAATGACCAACTGATGCACATTTTTCTGTCGTATATTGATCAAGTGAAAGGTATTTTAGAAAATGAAGTTGCAGCAACACCTTGCTCTATCCTTACTTGTGATCACACATTCAAAGTAAGCAAACACATCGGGGTAGTACGTACAGCTGATAGCCTGATAAATGCTTTGTTACCCAGTTTCAAAATCTATTTATTGGGTTAAATGAGAATGGACAAGTCTTAAATTGGCGCCTAATGAAAACCACTGCATTTGATCGGATTGAAGATATGCTGATTGACTTTAAACATAAGCTTAATGCACAATCAACTCAATTGGAGATGATTATAGTAGACGATTGCTGCACTGTTAGACAGTCATACCAACGAATATTTTCTGATACTCCGATCAAACTGGACATTTTTCACGCATGTCAACAATTCGTGAAAATTCTTCCAAAAGGCTTCTCATTGCGCAAGAAGCTTTCCAGTGAGTTTGGATTAATATTTTGCCAAAATGGTGATACAGGTGAAGAGCGAAGAATGACTACGCCATCTGTTGAGGATGTCGAATGCAATTTGGAAATGTTCCTACAAAAGTGGGAAAAACAGTTATCAGAACTAACTATGGATGCAATTAAAAAACTTAGAAACCATATAAGAAAGGGATGTTGTTCTGGTATTCCACCTAAAGCAGGAACACAAAAGAATGAACGACTACACAAATTAGTGAAAAAGTCGCTTCTTGGTGGAGCTTCTGTAATATCTCCTGAATTATCATCCGCAATTGCTGTGTTATCTTACATTTTATACATATGAGGCTGCAAACGCGATCCTATCGCTCGAAAACATTCGTCAAACACAAGAATTATTCCAGTTGTTCCTGTTGCATTAAAAAATCAGCATCTACTTTCAAATTTCGCTTCTGATGTAACTGTTACGCAAAAGTTTGATCATACCGACGGAGATTCCAGTCGCCATGAAGAGCGTAGCTCAGCTAAATGTGATACAACAATGAAAAGTACAAATTTGGACGAAATGGTGTCGGACGCAATAACTCACAATGTTAAGGAATTATGCAATGAGAGTGTTTTAAATTATATTATTCTACGCGCTCTTCATTTGAACGAGGTATGTTCGTCGATTGGAAACAAATGCAGAAATAGAGATTTTGTTCATATATCGATAAAATAATATAAATTTGGTTCAAAACGAAGGCTACCTAAAATACTTAAAATTTTAGAAAACTGTAGGGAGCCACCTTAAAGAACAACACCTATTGCTCTCCTCAATGCAGGTGCTCTTTGTGTGGTAATATTAGTCCTGATACAGCATCATCACATAAAGATGCTGTATCAGTACTGGCAGATACAGTGCAGTCAATGCCCATTAAAAGAAAAAGGACACAGCAAGAAACGTATAAGCACTGTAAAGGCGTTGAATATTTGGCAAATAATGGATTTGACATTTCTCCCGGACCATGGACCTATATGGAGACTTTCATCCTCCTTCAGTACTGGAACTACTAACGTCTACCGAATTGGCTGTGTCTTCCAGCAATGTTATGGAATTGTATAATTTTGTTGTGTTAAGTGGCAAAGTTAAAGATATGGAATTACCTATTGCGTACAAATCAAGTAAGAGCATTATCGGAAAACGTTCACAATTGAATGCAAAGCACAGTGTTTTTCAATCGCTTATGGATTCCTTTAGTGAAGATGGTATGTCCGTTTCGGCTAAAATGTAACCGAACGCTACGAACACGAGATGATCTAATGTGCGAGCTGTGGGTTGCGAGTTACAAGTATAATTATTGTTAATTTCTAATAATGTCGGATTTAAATTTAACCCAGGGTTAACACTAAGCACTGAACCAGGTATTTACACCTATGGTTTACACTAAAAAATCAAATTGAAAACTGTATGGCATCCTTGCAGATGAGATTTTAGCTTTGTCTCAATTTGCTGCCAAGTTTCAGCTTTTGAAATAAAATTTGGATTATTTATCTCTTCTATCCTTTCTCATTCATTGCATTTACTTCTTTACTTACAAACTTGTGAAATGCAATCGTTTTGATGTAATGATGGGTTTTTTCCTGTGTTTAAATGAAGTCTATTTATTATATGGACAATGGTGTTTTACTGGAAACTAAAACACTTGTAGAACTCATACATCACTACATCCGGGACCAGGTGCGCGTATTTTCCGTATTTCACCCCTGCTAGTGACATACAAAGTTCAAAAATTTCCTGCCATTTTCATTGTTGTTCTTTTTGAAAATGCAAATGGTCTTTCGTTCGTATTTAAAACGAAATTAACGTTGGACAGAAACGTTTTGCCACTCGAACATAAAATCCATATCTCTTCACAACCGTCTAATATCCTATATGTATGCATATATACGTATGTATGTATATAAATTGAATTATTTTAACTTCAGTTATACTTCCGATGAAAAGGACTTCAGTCAGTTAGAGTTCCGAGCGTTCAGTAACAATAAACAAACAGAGTCTGTGTCTGATCATACTTACTAATAACATTAAATCAACCATTTTTAGATTAGAAAGCACAAAATGCATGGTCTTGATAACTTACTATATTTAATTAAACACAGAAATGGCAAATATTATCTTTTTTGAATGCTGTTCTTAGGGTTTGTAATCTAAGTGAGTATATATATTTTAAGACCTGACCAGGAACGACTGCGAAAAATGTAGCACAAGGTCCTCTGGTAGGAATTGAACTTACGGCCTTGCGATTCGGGTGCAGCGCTCTAACCAACTGAGCTACAGAGGCCAGCTGTTGAGCTGTAACCGTAAGTTCATGTATATATAGGTGATCGGGTGTGCAGGTTGTGATAAAGTGGACTTCAATTATCTGGTTTCTTGCACTTCACTTGGTGGTATTAAATATTAATACCACCAAGTGAAGTGCAAGAAACCAGATCATTGAAGTCCACCTTATCCCAACCTGCACACCCAATCACAAGTACCCCTCTCCCACCACAAGTACCCCTTCATACTCCTATGAACCAAGCATAGCAATCGCGAGAGAGCCTGACTTTTTATTTAGAAATGATCAAATAGCTCATTCTTAGCCTGCGTATCAGGCGTTCAGTGCAGGTGGGAAAATAAAGGGCGAAGTCGATGTAGACGCCGCCCTCTGTTATCTAGCCCGCACTAAAGCCTTGAACGCAGGCTATCCAAGCGAAGAAGCCCTGCAGTACAAGACATGAGGTTGAAGCGAGGTTGGAAGCGAATACTATCGAAAATATGGACTTGGACAATGATAATGACGTGGAACATGACAGATTGAATATAACTGATGTGCCAACGACGTCTCAGACAACAGAGCAAAATGACGAAAATCACGACTCTTCACAAAGTAATAACGAGAAAAGAAAATTAGTTACATACAAAGGAGAAATTGGTAACATGAAGTGCAATGTTTTTTGTGCAATGACAAATTTTGCAGTGAAGTGTAAGGGATACATTACCAAAGACATCAACCAGAGAAACCCAGAAGGATTTCTGATTGAAGTAATAGCGAAAGATTCAGTTCCTGCACCACACCAAGAAACAGAGTGCGACGAGATTCAAGAAAATGAGTCAGAGCCGGAAAATGGGTAAGTAATATGATCTCACTTCTTGAATAAAGCGTTGGCTATTTGAACATTTATTAGCTTACATTTACAATTTTTGTTAATTTATGAAATATGTTTGCCATATACTTTTGAGGACAGAGAGGACGATATTAGGAGTATTTAAATAATGCATAGCTAGTTTATGGTAACTTTGTATTTTTACAAAGAAAAAGTTCAAAATGTAAATCTTATTACGCGCGTCATCTTATTATGAAAGTCACCGAACTTGGAATCGCATAGTTCTGCATGTTTACATAGTTCTGCATGTTTACAATTCTAATTTTGAACAGTCAATCAGGTTCTTGGTAATTGGCTGTTTAAAATTAGAATTGCAAACATGCAAAAATATGTAGGCGCGGTCATAGACGATTGTGGGAGTGGTCGATATACAAATTTTTGATGTGATTCCACAGTTCGGTGTCTTTTGTAATAGGGTATACACGGCACAAGCAATACTTGATCGCCACACTCAACAACATTTACGTTCCCGGCCAAAAACTTATACATTTGTATGTACTCTCAAACTGCTGTCAATAAAAATCTACTAAGGCAAGCTAATAGAACCTTTCATGAACAGAAGGTTTTTAGTTTACGTTGCTCGTATTGTTTTCTGTCATGTGCAAACATGATAGAAGTTGCAGATACAAATTTAAAATGAAAATGGGGCCGGGATAGAAATTGAATTGAAAAAATTTGTAATTTTTTTCTTTTTGTTTAAGATTCTTAAAATAACCCTCTCTGTCTGGGATGATTTCCAGTTGAGTGTGGAATTGCAAAAGTTTGTTCGGTCTGTTTTTTGAAAACAATGTTTGCAACATCATGTTATGATTATTATTATTATTATTATTAGTCTTTAATGAAACAGAAGATAAAAATACATATCTTAAGTTACAATTCATATTACAGTATATGCATTATTTACACTTTGCTAAAAAGAAACTTACAATGTTTAATCATATTGTAGTTCATACTATATACATTACTCATTCGTTCATACTGTGTGTCTTGCTATAGAGATAACTTGCAATGTTTAATCAATAACTAAGTCATAATTGTATACCAAACGGTTTACAAACACGTTTTTAAAACGTTCCGTTCTAACTTTCGGCCTATGACTTCTTCTTTTTCTTAAGTTGTAGCCTGTTTCTTTAGCGTGTGGCATTAGTGACAATAATGGATGCTGCCAGAGTTTAGATACTCTATTAAATATGGTTCGATCTTGTTTTTCTAAAAGCTTATACACACTAACTGGCTTTGACGTATATTTCCTTTTATAGCAACGTTTAAGAAAGACTTCAATAGGAGTTAAATCGGATTTGGAAGCGGCATAAACAGATAATGCGTATGTTATGTTTGGTAATACCAGAGTATCAAACAATAGATCTATCTCTTGTTGTGAATAACCTTCCTTTCGCAATGATCGTAAGATATAAAGACACTTATTTGCCTTGATTAATTTGTTTTTAACATGTTCGCCAAATTTGCCATCACACTGGAATGTAACTCCCATCACTTTCACTGCTTTACACATTGGAATCATTGCTATTGGTGAGAAATATTCTTGGTTACCTTGCTTGTAGATGGTCATCTCTTTACACTTTCCTGGATTACATATCATCTTATTTCTAGATGTCCAATCCAAAAACTGTGACACCAAAAAATCAGCACAATCTCGCTCTTTCCAAACTGGAGCCACAATATTGGAGTCATCCGCATACTTGAACAATATATCAAGACCGTCCAATTCTAAGTTTAAATCATTCAGGAAAATGTTAAAAAGATGTGGCCCACTGACACTCCCTTGAGTGGTGCCTCTATTGACACATTTCCATTCACCCTCATATCCATTGTAGCATATTCTTTGTTTTCTGTCCTTCAAGAAACTGAGGTACCAGTTAATAATATACGGGTTAAGTGGGAAAGCTTTTAATTTACTTGCAAGTAGATCGTGCTTAACTGAATCGAAGGCCTTACTAAAGTCCATGGTGAACAGTCGGACTGCTCTACAGTCTGGATCGTCCATATAACTGTTTATCCTATGTTGCATGGCTAAAAGGGCGCAAGTACAGTTTCCACCGGCCCTATATGCAAACTGCGTGCGGCTTAGATTATTCTCCACAACATCACGAACATGGGTGTCATATACAATTCTCTCGAATGCCCTAGCTATCACCGGCGTTATACTAATGCCCCGATAATCCTGATTTTCATTCGGCATTTCTACTTTTGCAAGGGGATTTACATTTGATCGCTTCCATGCCGAAGGCCAGCTTTGGGTAGATAATGATAGATTCCACACTCTTGTGATTACTGGGGTTAATATCTCTTTGTGTTCTTTCCAGATCCAGTATGGAATTTGATCTGGTCCTGTTGCAGTTTTCGTAAGAGCTTTAAGGATATTCCATACTTGCAATTCACTAACTCTTGGTGTTTCGACTTCACTTTCAATTCGCAATGGTGTTGGTTCAACATATGTGTCATCAGAGCATAACTTAGCAAAGTAATCATTTAGATCTGACAATCTAGTGTTATCTAGAATCGCTCTATCTTGTTTTTTACGTTGACTCAGGGCATCAGTCATTTTCCACCATGCCTTACTTCCTAATGGGGTGGTCTTGCATTTCCTCCTATTCTCCGATATGACTTCTGATATTCGTTTGTTAATTTCCTTTAACCTGTCCTTGTTCAGCTCGGATATCCTTGACTTTGCTCTAATCATCGACTTTAATAGCGGGGTCATCCACACGGGGTCACGTGACGACATTGATATTGTCCTAATCGGCATACAGTTATCCATATGACTAAGGATCTTACATTCTAAGAAAAGTACCGCCTGCTGAACATCACTGGAGTCTATAACATTATCCCATGTTTCAGTTGCCATTGAGTTGTAGAGAGCAGCTTTACGGTGTTTTCTGCAATCACGTATTTGAACTTTCCTTCGAATTGGTTTTAACTTTGTTCCAGCAGGGAGGACAACAGCAATATGATCAGTCTTAATAGAAGTTTGGAAAGGGAAACTCTCACCAAATAAATCAGGACGATTTGTTAGACAATTGTCCAAGGTCGCATCACCTCTAGTTGGAAAGTTTACTAAAATATCCCAGCCTACTTCTATCTGTAGCTGCTCTAAGTCCAAATGATTTAAATCACCACCGAATAGAAACACAGTATCTGGATACCTGTCCAACCTTTCGTCAACAAAATGGATTAGGTAATCTCTCAGTTCTTGCTCCTTATAACTAAACTTTGGTGGGTGATATAGACCACAAACTAACATATGATGTCCAGAGGGAAGTGTCAAGGTTATGCAAATTAGCTCATATAAATTCGACCTGTAAACATCGGTCACAGTAATATTATTTCTTATGTAAACAGCCACTCCTCCCTTACATCTCGAATCGTTATTAGCCCAGTTTCTATCCCTCCTATAAATTGAGTAGTCGTGAATATTCACAATTGTATCAGGAATATTTGGTTTTAGATGTGTTTCAGACACTACACAAATATCAATATCTAGAGTTTTCATGTCTGCCTCCAAGGCTGAGACCGCTCTAACCCTGTTCTTGGTTTTGTTTAAGGAGCAAATATTAATAAGCATTACCTTAGGAACAGCAAATGCTGTATTTCTGACTTGCCTTAACAATGGCTCACGAGGTATTTGTACGAGATTTACACTTCGTTGTTTTTGTATCCGCGACCAAGTGCCGCATGGTCGATTACCCACAACAACTTTAATTGTATTGCGTTCGTTATGGTACGTTTCCGTTAACTTTATACACCTTCGACCTCCTCGCTTGCTTCTGTATTTAAAAATGTTTAAAGCTTTACACATAGCCATTACTTTTGGTGTAGGTTTACTTCCGAACTTTCGATACGATAACAAAATATCACGACTCAATGCGGTGATTCCACCAGAGCGAGAATTTCTACGAGATTGTTGTACAATTTGATTATCTGGTATTAATCCAGGACCGGGATTCAACTCTATATCGCCATGTATAGTAATTTGTATGGTAATATGCAGCAGTATCTTGCTTTCTGGTGCTGCCAGCATCGTCAAACCACGCTTATTCCATTTCACAATTGCCGAACGGACTCGAGCATTTTGAAGTGAAGTTCGAGCTAATCGAATATTCTGACTACAAAAGTAGATCTCTTTGTAGTCACTTTGAATAACATCACTAAAGACAGATTCATCATTATACTTTGTGTTTAAAACTATCGTATAATTGCTACCATAAGACATTAAAACTAAGAGACTTAAAAACATGGCAGCCATCTTGGCGCCTCTACAGGCAGGTAGAATTTAGTTAGATGTCACTAGATGAGCTGACATGTTGTCAAGTAAAGTACTGTTAAGTTCACGAATATAAATAGGAACTTATTTTGTTTTGTAACAGTTTCTATTTATAGACGTGAGCCTTCATGTTTTGTTATTCAACCACAAAAATTTACTAATTTATTCGATTGGATATCTCCGCCGACTACATGTTTACTTTAAATTCATACATATCTGCAACCTCTCTATATATCTACAAACAATACAATAAAGATAACTAAAAACTTTCCTGTTTTTTAAAACCTAAAAGCTTTTATTAGCTGACCTTCAATAGCAGTTTTTTTGAAGTTAGACAGCAGGTTGATATTAAAATGTGTACATTTTTGGGCGGGAATGTATGTACTTGGGTGTGGCGATCGAGTATTATTTTTGGTGTGTCCTCACTTCAGTGACACACGTAATATTGTCTGTTAAGCCTGGCGCACACTAGAGCTATTAAATGTCATTCGCAACCAATTGCACAAGGAGAAAACTCTCGTGTGTGGTGCACTTTAGTAAGTTTCTCATCACTTGTGACATGTAAGACAAATAACAAATGTGTTGAATATTTTTTGTCATGAATGAACATTTCCTCCATGTGTGCACACTCGAAAAGCTATCATCCTTCATTGTAGAAACGTAATAAAACATGAGACAAAAGGAAAATAATTAATGAAGAATATTCGTATGTCGCTACTCAAGTATCACATTACTCATTAATTATTTCCCTTTTGTCTAAAATGATGCATGCCTGTTCGATCTACAACGAAGGGTGATATAGCTTTTCGAGCGTGTGGTTTTAAAGCATACTTTTGTTCTTAGCAGCAAACCTCATTTACACTCCAGTGTTTCGTCATACCAAAGCGAGGCTTGCTAACAACATATTATGACAAATCAATGCACGATGTAAATACCAGTAATAGTTGTGCTACTGACTTGCAAAGCCGGTCAATGATCACAACTTATGAAATTAAAGAAACCACTGTGAGCAAAGTGTTGAAATAATAAACCCCTTTCATTGATTGTGTATCTTAATTAGCCTTCTTGGTTCAATATATAAAGTGTTTTAATTCGTCTCTTATGAAAGTGGTCTAAAGGCACTGTTCATAATCAGCAATTTGATTTGCTTTGATTGATACATTTTTGTGAGCTGTGCACTAGCTAGCTGGATATATAAGTGATATTTGGAACAAATTAAAAGAACATTTTGACCTTGCAAGTAAATTTGCTTTCTCCCTGTACAGGATTATTT